GTGAGAGAGTTGAGAGAGTCTGAGAGTTGAGAGAGAGAAGAACGAGAGAGTGAGAGAGTTGAGAGAGAGAGAGAAGAATGAGAGAGTTAGAGAGTAAGAGAGAGAGAGATATATGATACAAACTAAACACATGTATACAGGCGGGGATGGTTTAGGGGAATTTCAGGGCAAGGTCGGGGTCGGGGGAACCTATCACCATCCTCGTCCCGAAAATCATCCAGGATGTATTTTTCAATACTAGCCCCGGCCCTACGAGGAATAATTTTCGAGAAAAACCCTATTTATCGGGGCGAGACGGTTAGGATCCCCGTCGGGCTAGGTTCATATTTCCATCTCTATAATCATGGTGTAGGTTAAGGTGCTTAGAGATGACAAGTAGCTTTACCACTTTCACCTTTCTTTAAAATTATTATCAATTGTATTTTCCATCATATATCATATATGAATTTCATGCCTATGATACTATTACAACTAAAGATTATAGATGCCAAACTAATTAGGAATTCCTTATGAATATAAAATCACCTTAAAATAAAGAAGTCCCTCAATATCACTATCTTTCGTTTTGTCCAACAAATTCAATTGTTGCAATTTTTTGTAAAATTTATGCGAACTATCTAATATGCTTTAATTTCATGAGCTCTCTTTGTGAGTTCATTTAATGAAAAGCTTCATACATAGCACATCATCAAGAAACATAGTAAAATTTGGTGAAATAGGAGTGTCGACATTTGAATGAGTTTTTTAATTTTTTATGGTAAAAGAGTTATACATAATAATAATCACCACAACAACACAAGTGCTTGAACTTATGATCTCAACAAATGAGATACTTAATCCGTTAATGGAATGTTTTTAAATCTCATGACTATTAGTGAGTGTGATTTGATTTTAATGACATTGACACAAAAAAAAATCATTCTATGTATTCAATTTATAGAGTATATATCAATATGGATTTGTATGCATGATCAAATATCAAAGAGAGATTCCTATCTCAAGTCCACTAATTTTTCAAGTACCAAGTTCTAACAAGCAAGCTGTTTTGAAATCATTTCAAAAATCAAAATTTTAACAACTGTTGATTTTTTTATTTTTTTGTAAAATTTATATATTTGGAATCTTCTCCTCGATATCTATAAAAAAAAACCTGTGATGGTGAAATTCTAAAGAACAAAATACAGTCAAAAGTCCATTGAGCTTGCTGTTTTTAGTAAAGGAAATTTCAAATTGAGAACAAAACTGCAAATTGAGACCTTAATTCCTATTTAAAACCTAAAAGGTTCAAATTGAGGAATACACACATGAATGAAGACACTTTCATTCAATTAGTAACATTTTTACACAATGAAATTTCATTATTTGAAAATAGATAATTTTTCTTCCTATCTCAAATTTCACTAATTCATATTGTAATAGCATATCTCATCTTGAGAGAGAAAGAGAGGGCACTACCAATTATTGAAAATTCCTCAAAATAGAGTTTTTCATTTGAAAATAAAGAGAGAAAGAAAGAAAAAAAAAAACATTCCACCACTTAATTCCAAATTGAAGCCTATAAATTTCATCATTGAAGACAATTCCAATTCAATTATTAAAAATTCTTCAAAAACCAAGAAATTTCAAAATGAAAGGATAAAGATTACAAGCATAGAAATTTCAAAATGAAAGGATAAAAATTAAAATTTCTTCGATTTTACAAAATCAGAATCCAATGAAATTTAGGAAAGAACCATAATATGCTTTGCAATAAAATAGAAAAGAAAAAGAAAAACAGAAAAAGATCATGCCTTTTTTTTCATTGAAGGCCAACAAAATTAGATGTAGGATACCTTTTCACCTTAAAGTGCTCTGGAAGCATGTAATCAAGATGAGTGAGTTTTGATCAACTTTGAAAATGATACTTTGGTGTTGTTTACACATAGCCCTATTTATTATATGAACTTATATTGGTGCACATCTTATTATATACTATAAAAATGTGGTCGAGGCTTACAGCCTTGCAGGGTTCCAAAGTCTCATTTTAAACTTTCATGTAAAATTGAAATTCATTCTCTTACATGATATTCTCTGAAGTCTCTCTGACACCCTCTTCTAATTTTTAATTGATTAATGCTTGAGACTTTCAAAATGGGTGATCCTCGTGACCTCCAATTGATTGGTGACAACTCATAACGTATTTTTTTTCCTTCTCTCTTTTTAATTATAGAATAATAAATCACAAAGCAAAAAACTATAAATAATAAAGATAAATTATACTAACCTCTCCTGAAATTTAGAGAAAATACAAGTCTTATTATTTTGATATAATTACACCAACCTCCCTTTTAGTAAAACTAAATAGACCAAACTAATACAGGAAATGTGAAGACACATGGATAAATAAGAAAAAAAAATATACATTTCAGTATAAAAGAAATAACAACATAATTTTTCTATTGATTTGAGTAACAAATTAATACTAAAAATGGGACTAAGCATTATATAAATTAAAATCTTAAAGGAGCTCAATATAATTATGTCAAAATAGTGGAGTGTTGTGTTTCTTCAAACCTCAGAAAAAATTGGTGTAATTTATCTAAAATTAAAAAACATAAATTAAATTTATCAAATATATTTTTGTTTATGACTCATTTCATATTATGACTTCCTGTGCATCGCACAAGTCAACGCCAGCTTTTCCATATAATGCGAGGTCTTGTTAATGACTTCTCACCAATTATTTATTTACCATATAAAAGTAGTAATTATATAAAAAATTATATATGTAATTGATCCAAACAGTTGAGGGTCTGATTTGAGGCTTAGCCCGAAAGGATTTGCCCAAGTCTGAGCTCAATCTCGAGCTGGACTTTTGCCTGAACTTTTTGCCCAAGTCTAAGCCCGAATGTAAGTTTAATAATTAAGGCTTGCTCAAATTCAAACACAAAAAAATTATCTTTGGTTATCTTAAATTAATGTATTTTACTTTTTGACAATAAAAAGAAAAAATATCTTAAAAAATAAAATCACAAACCATAAAAATGTACATATATGTATATGTAGTTTGAGTTATGTATATTAAATAACAGAATATATTACATTGCAATATGATTTAATCTAAACGGTGATAAAATAATATGCATCTTACAATATTGATGTTTATTATATATAATTTATATATATTAATAATAGAATTCGAGTTATTCGAATTACTCAAGTCATGAAAAATCTTGTCCAAACCTTATCTAATTTAATTTGGACTAGTAAGTAAATTTTAACCCAAGCCCAAACCAAATTTATACCGCCCAAGTCTAAAATAATTTTAAGTTAATTTTGGATTGTTCAGATTGAATTTGTTCAAGTTAAACCCCCTAATAACATGATTGGATAGAGACATATAGAAAAGTAAAGAAAAAAATTGACTTTATGACATTTTAACTTTTTAGTAGGTTGCCAAAACAACCCTTAACTTTAAATAGAACTTTTATTATCATATATAATTTTCCCTATATAAAGAATAGTAATACTATATATTTGAAAATTTTACTCAAATTTTTACCATAAAATATTAATATAATTCAAACTCATTTTATACATAATTCCCACAATACACTAATCAAATGTGAACTACACAATTCTATTTTCTTATGATAAGTAAAGTTTTTTAATGGGTAAATTGCAAATACACCTATTGATATTTACTTAAAATACGTATTATTTTTTGTGATTTTAGAAATTACAAGTACTCCTTTGCAATTTTTTTATGTAATAGAATTAATAGAAAAAGAAAACTTCCTAACATCATTAAGAAAAGTTAATCGAGTAGATGATTTATTAATAAAAAAATAGTCATTTTTATACAATTAAAAACTTAAAGTGATGAGATGTAATTTTTAAAATTATAAAAAGTAATCTTTATTTTAAAAAAAAATTCAAATATAATAGTTATAATTTATCAATTTTTAATTAAGAATGACGATTATGGATTACACTTCAACTAGGGTGTAAATTTGGCCCATGAACTCGTGTCCCACTTGAAGCCGCCTGGGAACAGGGTAGGCCTGGCTCAATTAAGCCCGACCAGGCTCGAGCCCAACTTGAGATCCTAGACCTGGGTCGTGTGTTCTGGAGCCCAACCTAACTTGGTTCGAGACTTGGTGTCATTTTTAGTGGAAAAAAAATAAAATTTTGGTTAAAAAAATAAATAAATGGTCAGGCCCAAGCCCAGGCCCACTAGCTCGCTCGAGACCTGAACGCTCCCTAAGCCTGGTTTTTTGGCATGTGGGTCAGTCCAGTCCGAATTTTAACAAGAGTCCACGCAGCTCAATATGGGCCAGACCAAACTTACATCCTGAACCTCAACCGCCAAGTAACCAAGTAGAACCACATGGATCTCTTTTACTTAATTATTTAGTGATTTGTGGCCTCTTTGATTGGAAAATAATAACATGAGATTAGACTGTTAATTCTATTAAATCTATATTTTGTTTTTTAATAACACCAATTACATTCGATTTAATAATAGGTAAGATTTTTAATCCTACAATATTGCAATATATTTAATACTAAAAGAGGGTAAATATTAACAATCTTACACATAATCATATAAAATTGTTAATCCAATCACTAATACTCTAACTAATCAAAATAGGGCATCAGAGCATTACTCTACTCTATTTTGTCGAGAAATTATTCAATTCTTTAAGTGGTGTTTTAAATGATTAGTTATTAATCTAAATCATAAAATCTACCACTTTCAATTATCAATGCGTAAATGAAATAGAGTATTACCTCCAAAGACATTGAATAATTTTTCCATTTTCTCTCTAAAAATATATATACATATATATATATTTTGATAAATCTCATTATTTCAACCAATAAAAACCAACTTACTTTACCTTAACACTACCAAATAATTTTCCCTCAAAATTGCAGAGATAAACCAAATCACACTTCTACTAAAGGCGCGTAGCTAACAAACATTTTCCGAGAAACCAAACACAATGGGAAAATGAAATTCCAAGATCCACCCCCACCCACTCACCCACCACTTCTCTCCTTTCAGTCTATAAATAACTTCCCAAACTCGTCTCTACCTCCTCGTGTCTCTCTCTCTCTCTCACTCACCAAGAACCAGTCGCAGATTTCTCTCTCTTCCGGTTCTACCTCCTAAAGGTGAGCTCTCTCCTTCACGTCTCTCCGCACTCTCCGTCACTCACACCCCACATTTCTCGCTCAATTGTTCTATTAGTATCCCCAACTCTACTTTATTACAATCCAAATTCCCAATTCTTTCTCTTTCAGTCAATCTTCAATACCCATATTGTTTGTAGCTTCTTTTTTTTTTGCATGAATCTTTTCAACCCGGAATTGTATTTTCACTTTTAGATCTACCAGTGTCCTTGCTTGTCTGTTTCATTTCATTTGGTAATAGTTTTTGATCAGTTTTTTGGGCTTTTGAGACCTGTTTTAGTTTTACATATCCATGTATAGATACATATGTGATAGATCAAGTGTGTTATGATGTTGGAACATGTAGATCTGGTTTTGAATCTTGTATTTGTAATAGATCTGATATAAAGTAGCTACTGAGAATTATGGGTTCGGGAAAAAAAACTGTCTGCATTAGGTGCTCTGTGCACTTGCTCTGTTTTTTGTTCTAGATCTGCATTCCTTATTTGTAGATCTAGTCTATAGTTATTTGATTCCATTTGACTTGTGCTTTTAATTCTGTCTCATTATTGTCTATCAATTGCTAAGCCTTGATTAATGTGCTCTAACACTTTTTTTTTTTTCTTTTTTTCTTTTTTTTTTTTACATTAAGAGCTCGTTTGGGAAGAAAAAACCGCTGACTTTTTGGCTAAAATACCCAAAAAAAAAAACAAAATAAATTTTGTTGTCTAATAAGACAAAACATCATATTCAATTCATAGTCATTACATTTTTTCTCTCACAAAAATTTAAAAAGTAAAAAAAAACTCATCACAAAAGTTAAAAAAGTAAAAAAAAATTCATCCCAAACGAGACTTTTTAACCCCTAGATTAAAATAGCCAAAAAAAAATAAAAAGTCAACTCACATCTCAAACTAACCCTAAAGTAATCTTTTTTTTACCTCATGTTTGCTCAGGTTTGTTTATGCTTTGGAAACACAATAATATGTCTATTTTTTCTTTGATCTAAAGGCTAGTAAGGTTGATGTTGCAAATTTGCATGATTCATGTGCTAAGGAGTTTTTAAATAAATGAAGCTATAATATTGTTGTACAAGTGAAATTGAATGGAAAAAAAAAGGATCTTGGATCATGACGTATGGCATTGATTTCAATATTTTTTTTCACCTTTTTGTTTCTGTTATTTTGCATATAAATTAGATAATCTATATCATCAAATTGGGTTATGAATCTGGTGGTATTTGGTTATGACCTATAGTTTGTTTATCAACCTTATAGTGTTTGGTTATAAGTTATAACTCATACATTGCTTATGAACCAAATCAACATCTCAGATTCAATTTTTTAGATCCATCGATTACAAGTGTGAGTGCATATGGTATGCACTATTTTGGGAGATATGTACAGTAGTCTTTCCCATGAAATACATAACCTAATTTTTTCTATTTGTCTGTATTTGTTCCTTAGTGGGATCAGTCATTTTTCTTAGTATATTGAGTGTAGACTAATGAATTGGGAGTTCGCGATGGGTGTTGGGAGCCCCACCATTTATGCACGTGTGTTATATGTATACATTAGAATTTGGGTCAATTTGTATGCTGGCAATTAAAATTGTTTGATTTGTTGAATCTTGATGAACCAGAAAAATGGCCTCCCACATCGTTGGATATCCTCGCATGGGCCCCAAGAGAGAGCTCAAGTTTGCATTGGAATCTTTCTGGGATAAGAAGAGCAGTGCTGAGGATTTGAAAAAGGTCGCAGCCGATCTGAGGTCTTCCATCTGGAAGCAGATGGCCAGTGCTGGCATCAAGTATATTCCTAGCAACACATTCTCTTACTATGATCAGGTGCTTGATACAACCGCGATGCTTGGCGCTGTTCCCCCTAGATATGGTTGGACAGGTGGTGAGATTGGGTTTGACACTTACTTCTCCATGGCTAGAGGAAATGCCTCTGTACCTGCTATGGAGATGACCAAGTGGTTCGACACCAACTAGTAAGTAATGAATCAATCTTGATTACCAAAATATGTTGGTTCGGTGATTTTGACTTTTATGCTGATGAATTGTTGTTGATGTGTTGATCCAGCCATTTCATTGTCCCTGAGTTGGGACCTGAGATCAAGTTCTCATATGCTTCCCACAAGGCTGTTGATGAATATAAGGAGGCTAAGGCGGTATGTTTATTGGAATGCTTTCCATCCTATAATTGTCCATTTTTGGTATTATTAATTCAGCATTTGGTAACTTGAATTGGAAATGAGTTGTGAAGAGAAGTGGTATTAGGTTAAAGAGAAGTTTGTAAAAGACATGCATATATTTGACTTAAAGACTTGGCTTTTATTAATTAAGTTTGAAGAGTTTATTCATCCACTCATTTATCCAACTCGATCATCCAACAAAAAAGAAGGAAAAAAAAGAGAGAAAAACATATACTATCATATTCCAATCATTCAAAGGATATTTAGGAAAATTTCGTATCAGTATTTAAACTAATTTTTGTGAGCTTCACATCTATTATTCCATACCCTTTTCTTTTTTTCTTTTTCCTTTTTAAAATTTCTTATTGCATTCCATTGATCTATACCTTACTATCTTTCATGCCTAGACGTACAATCAATGTACTTATCAACAAGAATGTTCCAGAAATCAGATTTTGATTTTGTTTTGCTATCCCTATCCATACACTGCCAAACTATCACCTGAAACTCAACAGAGTGTTTGACAATCTTCTCGCTGAATTGTGAATACTCCTCTCAATTCCAAATAAAATATTTCTTTCATTAGATTTTTTGGTATTTCACATATTCAAATGAGTAATAAACCCGACAGAACTTAAATGCCTCAAAGACGTCCCAACAATTTCAAAATCCATTCATTGTCTTCGTTAATATATTAGCACATTAAATTTTAGCATCTGCTAAATATAACATTTTGTCTTTTTTTCTAATTGGAATCTACATGGGTAATATAACCTTTGAATTGTTACTAATTGTCACATGTTTACTCTCTTGTTTCATGCAGCTTGGAGTAGATACCGTTCCAGTCCTTGTTGGCCCTGTGTCCTATTTGTTGCTCTCAAAACCTGCAAAGGGTGTCGAGAAATCATTTTCTCTTCTCTCCCTCTTAGACAAAATCCTTCCAATCTATAAGTAGGGAATTGAACTACTTTATCAATATCGTTATTCAGTTTTTGCATAATCCTGTGACTCTTCCAATATGCTATTATAATGAGAAAATCTCCTGCAGGGAAGTTGTTGCCGAGCTAAAGGCCGCTGGTGCATCATGGATTCAGTTTGATGAGCCCACCCTTGTGAAGGACCTTGAATCTCACCAATTGCAAGCATTCACTGCTGCCTACTCTGAGCTAGAATCAGCTTTGTCAGGCCTGAATGTTATTGTCGAGACTTACTTTGCTGATGTTCCAGCTGAGGCATTTAAAACCCTCACCAGCCTGAAGTGTGTCACTGGTTTTGGTTTTGATCTGGTTCGCGGAGCACAAACTCTTGATTTGATTACAAGTGGATTCCCATCAGGAAAATACCTCTTTGCTGGAGTGGTTGATGGAAGAAACATATGGGCCAATGATCTTGCTGCATCTCTGAGCCTGCTGCAGACTCTTGAGGGCATCGTGGGTAAAGGTATCATTGTCTACCCATTTCATTGCATGGCAATAATGTTGAATGCCTGCAGACAGTCAAGAAAATTATCATGAATTGGTGTATTTGTGCGGTCCATGTAAATAATGAATATGAACCACATTGATGTTTGAGTAAAATTCTGGGTAAATATTATGGGTATGTAGTATTGATAATTATAATTCTTCCATGCAGACAAGCTTGTTGTTTCCACCTCTTGCTCGCTTCTCCACACTGCTGTTGATTTAGTTAATGAGACTAAGTTCGACAAAGAGCTGAAATCATGGTTGGCATTTGCTGCTCAAAAAGTCGTTGAAGTCAATTCATTGGCAAAGGCATTGGCTGGTCACAAGGATGAGGTATAATTATTTTTATTTTTTATTATTTGCTTTAGCATATGTAAAATGAGCTTTTATTCGAGTTTTTATGCTTTCTAATGATATACCATATGGTTTCAATTTCAGGCATTCTTCTCTGAAAATGCTGCTGCTCAGGCTTCAAGAAAGTCCTCCCCACGGGTGACCAATGAGGCTGTTCAGAAAGCCGTAAGTGATGGGACTCAATTTCAATTCTTTATTCTTTTACACTCCGTTTGGATGGAGTGATTTGGTGAGAAATGATAAGAAATGAAGAGAAAGAGAACTCTTTCTCATGTTTGGTTTACAAGTTAGGTGAGAAATGGTGAGAAAGATAACTCTCTTATTTTTTTGGTTTCATATCTCACCAAAAGTGGTGAGATTTGGTGAGAAACAAATGATTGGTTGTGTATTTTTTTTATAATACTGAGATTGTCTATTAAAATGAGAACTTAAGGCTTGGCTTGGCTTGGCTTGGCTTGGTTTGGTTTGGTTTGGTTTGGTTATGTTATTGTCCATTAAAATTCAAAGAAAGAAAAACACAAGAAAGTATTGGTATATCACATACTTTGTTTTTCTAATCATCCAAACAAGACAGTGAGAACAGAGTCATTTCTTTTCTCACTCCTCAATCCAAACAGAGTGTTAAATTGTAGCTCTGCAGACACCATTTTGTACTTACGAAGACCGTTTACTTTTTTTCTATCAGGCTGCTGCTTTGAGAGGATCTGATCACCGCCGTGCAACGAATGTTAGTGCCAGACTCGATGCTCAGCAGAAGAAGCTTAACCTCCCCATTCTGCCGACCACCACCATTGGCTCTTTTACCCTTTTCTAACTCAGAAGAGTGCGCCGTGAATACAAGGCTAAGAAGTAAGGATTCTGATGATTTGTCATTTGTTCCTCCATGTTCTGCCCGTTTCCCTGCCCTGTATTCTGATAATGTTTTCTTCATCTAGGATCTCCGAGGAAGAGTATGTTAAGGCTATTAAGGAGGAAATTAATAAAGTTGTGAAGCTCCAGGAAGAGCTTGATATTGATGTCTTGGTCCATGGAGAGCCTGAGGTAAAGTTTTGATTTTGACAACCCTTTGCTTCAGAAGATTTGACGAACATGTGTATATTTAGATCCATGTGTTTCTGTAAGTGCAAAAGAGGGATTTCTGACTAGTTATGGATTTGTTTTTCTCTTCAGAGGAATGATATGGTTGAGTACTTTGGAGAGCAGTTGTCTGGTTTTGCCTTCTCTGCCAATGGGTGGGTGCAATCCTATGGATCTCGTTGTGTGAAGCCACCAATCATCTTTGGTGATGTGAGCCGCCCCAAGGCAATGACCGTTTTCTGGTCCTCTATGGCTCAAAGCATGACTGCTCGCCCAATGAAGGGAATGCTTACTGGTCCCGTGACCATCCTCAACTGGTCGTTTGTCCGTAATGACCAGCCCAGGTATTAAAATAATAATAATAATAAAGTTATTTTATTGATTGGTTGACATTAGAAACGTATAATAATGTGATTTGTTTTCGTGTTCCCAGATTTGAAACTTGCTATCAGATTGCTTTGGCCATCAAGGATGAAGTAGAGGATCTTGAGAAAGCCGGCATCAATGTTATCCAAATTGATGAAGCTGCTCTTAGGGAGGGTTTGCCTCTTAGGAAGTCTGAGCAAGCTTTCTACTTGGACTGGGCCGTTCACTCTTTCAGGATCACTAACTGTGGCGTCACTGACACCACCCAGGTTCTGCCATCCCTCCTTTCATTCACAGTTCCCTCTTCTTGAACACTTTCTTCACTTCCTTTGTATTGTGTTTTTTGCTGACAAACTCATCATTTTTTTTTCTGTAGATCCACACCCACATGTGCTACTCCAACTTCAACGACATCATTCACTCCATCATCGACATGGATGCTGATGTCATCACCATTGAGAACTCTCGGTCTGACGAGAAGCTCCTCTCGGTCTTCCGCGAGGGAGTGAAGTATGGTGCTGGAATTGGCCCTGGTGTCTACGACATTCACTCTCCTAGAATACCATCAACCGAAGAGATTGCTGATAGAATCAACAAGATGCTTCAAGTGCTCGAGACCAACATCTTGTGGGTTAACCCCGACTGTGGGCTCAAGACTCGCAAATACCACGAAGTTAAGCCGGCCCTCCTAAACATGGTTGCTGCTGCCAAGCAAATCCGCACCCAGCTTGCTAGCGCCAAGTGAGCAGTCCAAGAGAACCAATTGCCAAGGAGCTCAGTTCTATCCTATCCATTATTAAACTGCGAAGGAAAAATCTTCATTGTTGATTTAATAATTGTGGCTTTTGATGTGATGAAATATGTTTAGTGTAGTTTTTGCCCCATGGGGATGTTTTCTTTTCTTGTTTTCTGGCCTTTTGATGATTTGAATATTCTGTATTTTTTATTTTATTTTTGTGTTTTTTTGCCTTCAATTTATTTGAAAGGCATCAAATCGATTAGTTTACCTCCATGAATGGAGTTGAAGAAATTTTATTACTACATATGTGCAATCAATCTGTGTCTTTTGTCAATTGTCATCTGATTGATATTATTTTTGAACATATTGTTTATGTTCTCATTTCTGACTATTTTTTATTTCTGACTAGTTTGGCAAATGGGTTATGGAGGTAATTAATTATTCAATGAAAAATGATCTGTTGCTCGAAATTGTTGGCTCGAGATTGGTCTGAATATTCAAAACGATGTCGTTTTGGATATTTTTTTTCTTTTTCCTCTTTTCTTTGTTTCTCTGTGCGTTCAAATACAGAGAGAAGAAAAAAAGGGGAGAGAGAGAGGAAGAGGGAAGAAAAGGAAGATCGGCGGTGATGGCAGTCGGTGATCGGCAGTGATGGCGGTCGTGATATTGAGGATGAAAGGGATTTTTTTGTTTTTAGATGAAGATGATGATGTTGATATTGAGGATGAAAGGGATTTTTTTTTTTTTAGATGAAGATGATGATGTTCAAAATCTAAAGATGAAGGGGAAAAAAAAAAATTTTTGATGAAGATGATGATGTTGATCTTGATCTGTAGACCCAGATTTTGTTGATGTTGATGAACAAAAAAAAAATTGTTGATGTTGATCAACAAATTTTTTTTTTTTTGTTAATGTTGATGAACCCAGCAGCGCAGCTCCTCCTGCTTCTTCTTCTCTTCTTTTTTTTCTTCTTCATCATCAAAACGCAAAGAAAGAGAGAAAGAAAGAAAAAAAAATATCAAAACGACGTTGTTTTAAAATTCAGGACAATCGAGCCACAGTAATTTTGGGCTACGTAGCGGGATTAACTGTTATTCAATTGCTTATCGTGTTTTGTGATTTTTCATTTATAAAGTATTATGGCAATATCACTTAATAGTTTGGGTATTTAATAATTCTTTAAACATCAATTACAGCAGCTGAGATTTGGGCTATATGAGACGAACTGCAATTAGCAACAAATCTGAAATAAATCCACCCACATAGTGGAATAAAAATAAATAAAAGAGACTGAAAAAGAAAAAACAGAAATTAGGTGATATGATAAAAATGTTTACAATTTATAAAAGACTATAGTTCATATTTTTTCCCACAATTATCAGTCTATGTAAATTTATTTTATACATATATCCACCAATATCAAATCAATTCTCATCTCACAATCACATCCAGATAAATTTTTGGGAGACTTTGTAGTCAAATAAACTACTGCATATATATATATATATATACGGTTAGTACACATAGGGCATGTTTGATTGGATGGGTTAAAGCATGAGATTGAGATTATTAATCCGTGGATCCAATTATTGTTTTAACATTTTGGTTTAGGATTATTAATCCAATAGATAATTAATCCAACAAATTTATAGGATTATTAGTAATAGAATAAGGATGAGATTATTAATCTAATGGATAATTTATCCTATTAAATCCAATTGGATAGTGAATACCACACTAATTTGATAGGATTATTAATACCTGTGTTGTGAATCAAACATGGCCATAATATTTGTGCAATTCAAATAAATAAAAACAAAATAAAATATTTATTATATATTGGGTGTCACTCATATGGTAAGAATCTTCTTTTTTAAACTTAAGATTCAAGGTTTGAGTCCTACTCCTCATATTTATCTAATTCTTTTTTTTTTAAATAAAAAAATGAAAGACACATGGCGTAAGGAGAAATAAAACAATTAAAGAAAACCATCTCACAAAACAAGTCAAGCTCGAGCTATTCATAAATAATTTGAATGATTTTCTTATGCATTTTAAACATTTTGTTATTCATATTTTAAGACAGTCAAGTATATTTCCTCTCTAAGAAACCCATTCCATCTCTAAAAAAATCTTGTTGCTCTCTCTTTCTTCGCTCTTTAGCGGGAGTGAGGGTGGTGCTTTTAACCTTCCTCTCTCCTCCATTTCTTTTCTTGCGACTTCTATCACCATACTAGCTACTACTACTCATCTCTTATCTCTATTATCAGTTTTCCATCGAGAAGACTTTTAGATCTATACTCAAATATGATTCATAATCGAGATTTAATATTGTTAAAATGCATTGTTATACGCTACGTGAGCAACATAGATCCAGAATGTTTTATTCGTAATGTTGAGGTGAGATTAGGGTACCAAAACTACCGGTTGCGACAATGAATGGATCATGAAAGTGATTGGTTTTGTTTGTTTGATAGTAATAGTTTTGTGTTTGTTTTTGTTTTTATTTTTTTGTGTTACAATAATATTTTTTTATGTAGAGGTTCCCTTCTTTCATATAGGTTTTCTCCTCCCTGTGTGGAGGTTTGTTTTTCTTCCTACGTGGAGACTCATATCCTTCCTGTATGGAATTTATACTCCGATGTATTTTATTGAATAACTTATTGTCGAATGCGCAATATATTCAAACACACTCTATAACACCAAAAATGAAGTTTTACATATTTAAAAAAAAATAAATTAGTGAAATATTTAAAAAATAATTCATAATTATTTGTCAAATATGTGAATTATTTATAAAATATTGTTCGACTATACCAGTTACAATTGCTTCTGGAGAAATAAATTTGTTTTAAGTTGAAATTGATCAAGTTTTACAATTCAATTTCATACGTAAGAAAAAAGTGTGAATAAATTAATAATATCAACAATAAAAAATGTTCAAAATTTATTTTAATAATTATGATTTACATCAATCTTAATGACTATGGTTCATATCAACTATAAAGTTATATGAAATTACTCAAGAAATATAATATTATAATTATTGTTAAAAAACAAATTAAAATTGATTCAATTATTGATAAAATAATTTTAAATTGAATTTATCACTTGATATTTTAAATGATTTTCATGGGTGAAAAAGTAGTGATTTTAGTATTTATATATACAATAATTTTTGTGTAGGTACAAGTAAAAAAAAAAGTTTTGAAATCACTCTATTTGGTTTTAGTTTTCAAAATTTACTTTTTAAAAAATTTTACTTTTTCGTTTTCTATTTTTTTTTTCACTAAATTATTTTAATATTTCAAGCAATTTTTTTAAAATTTTTAGACACACCTAACATAAATACACTTAAAAAGTATAATATTTGTGAAAAGAATCGTTTAAAAATTCACTAAATACCAAAAATATATAAAAATATGAAAATTCAGTACATTTTTTTAATATTTTTGTGTATTTATTAATTTTTAAAATATTTTATTATTTAGATATATCTAAATAAGGTGTATGTAAAAAAATTATAAAAAAAATTGTTTAAAATTTAAAAAATATTTACTAAAAATAAAAAAATATGAAAAATAAAAAACTCAATTTTCAAAAAATTAAATTTAGAAAACTAAAATTAAACACATTAATTGTTATTTTACAAATATATAAATATTTTAATGTCAGCCCTGCCCAATATAGAGACTATAAAATTTGTCAGGATGTTAAATAAGTTATTAACCCTTTTACAGCACTAGCTCCTGTGTCTATGAGAACACTAAGACTATATGATTTTTAACTTATAGAATTAAATATTTTCAATACATATGTGTATCTTCTTTTTCTTTGGTTAGGAGAAAAAATAATATCATCATTTTTTATTTAAAATGATACATATATGCAGACTGAATATGTTCAGAATGTCATCTTGTTCTTGGAAAAATAAGAATCTGAACATTTATTGAAGTAATAGATTCTTGATTAGAATTATTACTTGATTCACCAATGCTTAAATTTGAAAATGATTTGTTAGGAAAATCTTTTTCAAATATAGAAATTGATCTTTTAATTTTTGAAACTGTATTTTGAATATATAAATTTTTTCCTGACGTTTGTATTTGCATTTGTGTAGGATTTTTTTGTTTTAGAAGATTCTCCTTGTTTCATTAGGTCATGGATTAACTATTGTCGAGGGACTTCTAAATCACTTCAATTCATTAGACACAGTTGGATTACCATGTCAAATGGTCTAGGTTCAAAGATTTCAACGATTTTATTATCGTTTGATCTTGTTTTTGTTTCAGGAAATTTGGTTAATTCGTGAATTATTTTCCAACAAATAGCCAAATCATGAGAATTCGATTTCATTCCTAATCCTTGTGTTTTAATTCTTATTCTGACTGTGTCTTCAAGATTAGGATCATTTATGGAAATAAAGAAATTTGGTCTAATATTAAACCAAACTACTCCATCAACCAAATTAGATTGGATTCCTCTAATAATTGCTTTCATTAGGTCGAAAAATCTTTTGTTAAAGATTGCTGCCAAAATAAGAGTATCTATTCTTTGGCGGTAATAAGGCTGTTATGGTTACCTGTATTAATTCAATATGAATATATTAAATTTTAGGATATTTCTTTTTCCATCTTGTAACATTTTCCTTATCAAAAAAAAGGAATATCAATATTTCCTTCTTCTGATCATTTTGCTTGAGTGTTACTACTGTATTGTTCAAACACTCTTGCTGAAAGAAGTTGAATTTTGAAAGTTGGTAAATTTCTAGTACAACAACTTCTTGCATTTTTTCAAATTTTGCTAATTTTTTGTCAGTAAAAGTTTTTTCTTCTCTAATTACATCTCCAAGTCAAATTGCTTGTAATTCTTCTTGCGATATACTATTTGCTTCTTGAGATATTTCTTGACTATCTATGTTAGTCATCATAAAGATTAGTTCGTCGTCTGAACTTTCTTCATCACTAAAAATTTCATACAAGATTTCTTCTTCATCAGAAATTTCTTCACCATATATTATTTCAAAATCTTGTTCTTCAAGAATTTTGATCATTTTCTTTGCGCTTTTTTCCCTTTTTGGGCATTCGGGTGCGTGACCCTCTTCGTTACAAATATAACATTTACAAGTTTTATTTTTTGAAACACTTATTGGTTTCTTTTTTCGAATATACTTTTTATTTTTTGAAAACATTTTGTTCTTTTTCCAAGGTTTCTATTTATATTTTTTGCGTTTTTTAAAAAATCATTTTTGCTTGGAAAATGTATTACAACCAATTTTTCAATTTTCTTTCAAAATTTTATCACAACATTTTTGATCATATTGTGAGTTGGAAA